GGTTTGGGCCCCACTACTCGCCTAACGGTTGGTGGCCCAAACCCTCCGAGTGGGACCAAAGAGTAAGCCCTAAAGATCTGCTTTGGAAAAAGTTCCAGTCCAGAGAAAGCAACGAAGCAGTTACTCTGCTTTGTAACCCACCGAGCCTCACGCTCACGTCAGCATCCACTCCACACCCAGGGCTTTAGTCTGGTTATTTTGCTTTGGAGAAAGTCTTTGGTTGTTTGATTTTTGTGGTCACTCGGACTTGTCGCATAAGGTGACCAGACGTCCCACTTTTGGCGGGACAGTCCCGATTTTGAACAATTTTTCCCGCGTCCTGCGGCGTTTTTAAAAAGTCCCAGTTTTTGGAAAGAATGCACGACAAGCTACGGTATACGGTTTTCGGCTGCCATGTGGCTCTTTCGCCAGGATATGAGTTTCATCAATGGTGTCCCGCTTTACCAATGTTCAAATCTGGTCACCTTACTCTAGGACGGGGTTGACCTGCCCCTGTGGGTTCTGAGACTGTCCACTCTGTATGGGAGTAGAAAACCTCTTTCTCCTGCAGAATGGCTGTTGGTTTCGAACTGCCGAACTGCCGTCGGGTGGGGAGCAGCCCCACGTGCCACCACCGTGCCACCAGGGGTCTGCTGCAGGTTGCCGCCAGCAGGTCAACACGGTGGGCAGATTCTGAGCCCCCTGCAGCAGCGCCAGACCTGAAGTCAGTCACGTGGAGGGCAGACGCCTGGGGTGGAGGTAAGCTCCTGGTCTGGCCTCTGACACGCGAGGGGCAGTCTCAAGGCCACTGACTTTGAAGTGCTTCTTGCCAAGGCTTAGGGAGGAAGAGGTTGGTTTCCCTGCAGCTGAGCTCACGCTGACCAGACTCTTGGCCCTCCCTCAGCCCTCCATACCAGCCGATTCTGAAAGGATTTGGGACCAGCGAGCACGGAGCCCTGTTTCTTCCTGTCCTGGCCGCTCCATCACCTCACATCTGCCTTTTGGTGCTCACTCAGGACACCCTTCATCTCCCATGTTCCTCTGAGCACGCGGCCAGGGCAGCCAAATGGTTCTGGTACCCAGTTCTTATCATAGTATGCCTGGCAGTGGCCTCCCCTGCTCTGGCAACTTCCCCTCGCTCTGTCCCAACCACCATACTTGCTCCGCACTCCCATTCACTGAGCTCCAGCCTCTACTCTCGGGGCTCCTTGGACTTCTTGAGAACCCTGCTCTCTGGGTGTCGTTACTGTTGCTGTGTTGTTGTCAGGTGCTGAAGCGTAGTGACGGGGCGAACAACAGAACAAAGCCCCGCCTGCTGCTGTGGCAGCCTCGCACATGTTCTTACGTTCTTATGGACACACGGTGTCCATTCGTCTTGTGGAGGGCCTTCCTCTTCGCTGCCCCGCTACTGTACCAAGCACGGCGCCCTTCTCCAGGGACTGGTCTCCCCTGACAGCGTGTCCAAAATGCTTGAGATGAAGTCTCACCATCCCTGCTTCTAAGGAGCACTCTGGCCGTACTTCTGCGCAGGCGGGGTTGTCCTTTTAGCAGTCCATGGTACTTCCAAGATCCCTCAGCAACACCACAGTTCAACTGTCTCACTTCTTCTTCGGCCTTCCTCACTCAGTGTCCAACTTTCACAGGCACATCAGGCGACAGAGAATACCTGGGCTTCCGTCAGGCACACCGTGGTTCCCAAACTTTTCAGCACTTTAGAGAGGTCTTGGCACCAGCGGATGAACCCAGTGAACCCTGTCCTTGGAATCTTGACGGCTGCGTCCATGAGTGTGACTGTGGTGCCAACAAGATCGACAACTCCAACCCTTCCCCATTTACCTGGATGTTACCGATTGGCCCCGTTGTCGTTGTAGCCATCAAGTTGGGACCCTGTGTAGCTCTTCCACTGAGTTTCTTGGCTGGACTCTTAACGGACATTGGTTGCCAGGTCTTTCTTCCATGGCACACCTGGGGAGGCTCGTAGAAGCATTGGCGCCACACAGGGACCTCTACTGGGATAGGTGAGACCTACTGTTCCAAAACCAGTAGAAAGACGAAAGTATCGTGGAATCATAAACTCGAGGGATAAAACGAACATGGTGGAGTGCCGAGAACAGTTCTAAAAGCCTCTTCATATTTAGTTGCGATCTTGGAAACTTTTCTCCTGAGCGCATATAGGATAATCGCTATCTGGACAATGGAAATATGCTAAAACCTTAAGCCCACTGACGTCCAGTCGATATTGACTCAGTGACGCCACAGGACCGAGCAGCACTGCCCTGCAGGGTTCCAGAGGCTGTGAATCTCGGTGGTAGCAGCAGCACCACTGGGGGGTTTTAACCGCTCGCCTTTCCGTAAGCAGCCTTGACCTTCAGCCCTGTGCCACCAGAGCTCCACACAAGGGCTCCAATACCCCACGTTTAGCTTTCTCTTTGCAATCCTTACAGCCCCTTTCAATCGTGCAGCTGCTCAGTGGCAGAATGTGGAACCTGGATCAACACTCGGACGGAGTGCTGTGGACGGACAGGCAGAGAAGGTGGAGGGCGGGTTTGACAGGAGGATCTGGTACCGCAGCAAGGCTGCACCTGAGGCCGCAGCATGGTTCTGACACAGCTCAGGGGCTGGGTACCAGGGTGCTTTGGAGAGAAGGAGTGAGGAGGAAATGTGGGAAATGAGGTCTGTGTGCGGCTGGGTGCTTGGGCCCAGAGACACCTTACTACCCCAGAAGGGTGCTAGTTCTTTCTCTTATCCCCTTTGAAAACCCGCCACCGCCTCTGAGTCCGTTCTGCCTCCTGATGGAGCCCTGTGTGTCAGAGTGGACCACGGTCCGTTCATGAGACCAGGGGTTTTTCCGTGGCTGAGTTTTTGGAAGCAGGTAGCCAGGCCTTTCTTCCTAGGCGTCCAGGTAGGCTCCAATCTCCAAGCTCTCAGCAACCAAGAGCTTAGCTCTCTGTGTCCCTTGGGGCTCGGCTGCCTGTTGCCCCTTCTCTCTAGGCTGTGGAGGTGGCGGATCTGGGCAGACATGGGGCGCCCTGCACTGGCACTGACCTGGGGGGGAAGTGGGCTTTGAACTTGGTCTGGAACATCCTGGCCAGGATGACGAGCAGCAGCACCAGCAGCACGCTGGTCGCAGTGAAGGCCACGATCTTCCACGTGGTCAGGAGGGTCTCGTGGGTGCTGGGCCACGTTTGCTCTGCCACGAGAGAAGACACAGCTGCACGTGAGGCTCGGGGGCCAACAGGCATGCGGCTGGACGGAAGGGCTCCCAATCTGTGGGACTGCTGGGTGACGCCCACGGCACACCACCTGATCCCCGGGCTCACCGCAGTGCCACTGGCATGAGCTGGCAGACGCGACAACCCATTAAGATCCATCTCCAACTCCCACTGGTGCCCACGGTGGGCCCTGCCTGGGTGCTCACGTCCCAGGCCTGAGTGCCGCCCGGCCCTCCAGCAGCGGGGCTTTCCTGAGATGGACTCAGGACTGGGGGAGGGGAGGCTGGGGGACCTCTGTGAGTGCGTACTCTGGGGTGAAGCAGACAAGCCTGCTTTGTGCCCTCTCCCCACCCGCACGTCTCTGCCAGGGAAGGGGACACCAGCGCAAACTCGTTCGGCACAAGCCACCCCGTCCCATTCTGGCTGCCTCTTGCCCTTCCACACAGGCTCCCCTCTCCCAGACTCTCTCCCCCATTTCGTCATAGTCCCATGGTTACAACCCCAGATACTCGGAGTTCACACATCGTTTCCCCGGATGCTGTGACGTCCTGGGGCGGGGGGAGGCATATGCAGCCCTCTGCCTGGCCCAGGAAAGGTGGCCATGGCAGGCTGTGGACTAGGAGGCAGGCTGGTAGCACAAGCACGTTGCCAGGAGTGGCTGTGAGCTGTGTGAGGCCACCAGTTGAGAGGCTGCTGGCTCGGAAGGAAGGAGTTTGCTATTACCCATTGGACAGGGACGCCTGCAGATGCCCACATTTCTGGAAACGAGGGCGGTGTTTACCCACAGTCATCCCATTTGCATTCTGACGTGCTTCCTGGAGGGGAAGACAGAGTGGGCCTGGGGAATGTGTGTGATTCTGGCCACGCCCGGGGCCCTTGGCCTGGTAAGAAAGGCATGGCCTTGTGCACCGGGAGATAGGGGAAAGAGGGTGGCCGGTGGGGTGGGGAGTAGAGTGGACAGAGGCTGGAGGGCCATCTGTTCTGCTCAGAGGGTCAGGACTGTAACTGAGAATGGCCAGGTCGGAGGTCAACAAAACACCAGCCTCACGCATCCACATCCTGAGGGGACCAGGCTGGTGTGCAGCCTACAAGTACCCCCCACCCAGGTGTGCTCACCCGACTTGATGCAGTAGACTTGGTAGGACGGAAACCACTCTCCGTACTGGCAGGTGATGTACTTGTAGTCACTGGTGAGGCTGTAGCCGGGATTGCAGTAGAACTCCACCACCGTCCCGTGGTTGTACCGCTCACAGGGCCGCGGGTGGCAGATGAAATCACCGTGACTCACCATTGGAGGTAGTGGACAAACTTGGGCAGTGGGGAAGAATAAGAGTGTCAAAACCCCAGCCCTGGCCTGCCTGAAGCCCTCACCATGCAGACTAGCCCAGGAGAACACCGACCCTTAAAGAACAGCACCTGCCAGGTGACTGCCTTATCTAGAGACAGCCCCGCCTCTGTATTCTCCTGTGCGTCAACCAGAAGCTGGCCGTCCTATTCCCAGCACGCGGGCTTTCGCGGAATGTTGGCTGGAACATCGTAAGGAGCAGTTTGTTTTATGACATACAGAGTGTGCCTCGTTAATAAATAGCATTAAGCTACCCTATTAATAATGCATGCTATTGTGTGCCAGACACGCTAGTAAATAAAATGAGGACATTTATGGATCACATTTTTAACAAAAGGAATAGCTGTGCCAAGCCTGACTGTGACCATGGTGGTCACCCGAGGCTGTTCAAAGCACTCAGGCAGCGCCCCAAACCAGATCCACAAATACCGGGCTGGGGCTTGGCCAGTGACCAGCAAGGAGCTGTGCAGGGGTGGGCAGTGGCCGAGTGTTAGGCATCTTGGGTGCGAGGCTGGCTTCTGCCACTGACCCACTATGTGACCTTAGGCAAGTCACAAAGCTCTTTGGGCCTTGGTTTTCTCTTCTGTACATCCGGAAGCATATTCTGCCTACATTATGTTCCAGTTTCTTCGCTTTCCCCTGACACTACTGTCTTATGATCTTACAGGAATAAAAATGCTTTTCTTTTCCTTCTTGAGAACCTCCTCGGGGTTGCAAGAAAGGATGGTGCTGTCACTGTGACTAGGAAGATGGTGTCTGTGGAGGCAGGTGTAGGTCACTGCAGGCCACCACCCGTCTGTCAGTGCATCCCACGGTGGTGGCTTGCATGGTGCAGTGCTGTGAGCAGCTCTGGCACAGGCACTGAAAATATCGGCAGGGTCATCCATGCTGAACAGGGGGGGAGGATGGTGCTTCTAGATCAAGAACAGACTAAGAAGGGGACGGGCTAGCCACTTCTGGGGGATCAGCCACTGAAAACCTTATGAACAGGGGCACAAAACTGTCAGACAGAGCTGCCCAAAGATGAACCCCTCAGGCCAGAAGGTACTCAAATTCCGAATAGGGGAGCTCTGTACCTCCTCAAAGTACACCCTTGATGATGTAGATGGGATCAAGCTGACGGGGCACAATTCAAAATGAGGAGAAACACCGGAAACATCCTTTTATAATCAGACTGCGGCGTGCACAAAGCAGGAATCCCGAAACAGCGGAAGAAGTGAAAAACGCAATGGAATGCATTAAGATCAATATCCTAGGCATAAGCGAGCTTAAGTGGATTGGTCCTGGCCATTAGGAGATGGATTAGCATGCGGTTTAATATGCTGGGAATGAAGAGTGTAAGGAATGGCATCACACTTCATCCTCAAAGAGGACATTTAAAAATCCTCCTTGAGGTACAAGGCTGCCTGTGATAGGATGATATCTGTGTGCCGGAAGGAAGCCCAGTGAATGTAACTACTACTTAAATTAAGTGCCAACCATGGAGGCTGGTGAAGAAGTGACATCTGTGGAGGCAGAACCTGGAGAAACTCCCTAGCAGCAGCCAAAAAGAGGCCAGGGGCAGACTGCGGCACCTGCACTCGCTCACATGCAACTAACTTCAAGTCGTAGCTCAAGGAAATAAAAGCTCAAGAGAGCCAAAATATGGCCTTGCGTTGAGCCCACCTGGATTCAGAAACGGACTCGAGGCATTGAGCACTCATGCTGGACGCCCTGAGGAGCTGTGGGGGGACATCAAGAATATCATACACGAAGACAGAAAAGGTCATTAGAAAGACAGTAAGAAAGAAAAGATCTACGTGGAGGTCAGAAGAGACTCCGAAACTTGCTCTCAAGTATCAAGACGCTAAAGCAAATGGAAGAAATGATGAAGAGAAGGAGCTAAAGAGGAAATTTCAAAGGGCAGCTCAAGAACACAAAGTATCTCAATGAAATGTGCAGAGATCTAGAGTTAGAGATCCCAAATGGAAGAACACGCTCAGCACAGCTCAGATGGAAAGAACGGAAGGAAAGCCCCCAGCCCTGTGTTGAAAATACAGGGAAGAGTTCTATGGGCAAATTCTGGAAGAGGCAGAACGCATTGAAAGAAGATGGAAGACAAGAGCCACAATGTAAAATAAAAGACGGATGATGTTCAACCATTTCAAGAGGGAGCATATGCTCAAAAACTGTATTCAAAGTATGGAAAGAAGAGGTCTAAGCTTCTTGAGAGCCTGAAAACCAAGCCTCCAGGAATTGACAGAATACCAATGAAAACGTTCCAACCGGCTGATGCCAGGATGGAGGCACTCAATCATCTAGGCCAAGAAATTTGGAAGGCAGCTACCTGGTCAATCAATGGAGAAGAGACTGATGTTTGGGTTGAAAAGTGACCCAAAAGAATGTGGAAATTATAGCACAGCACCATTCATATCACATGGAGGTAAAATTTTGCTGAAGATCATTTTAACAATGGTTGTAGCAGTCCATTGATATGGAGGAGTCAGGTCCTCAAGACAGATTCTAAAGAAGACACACAACAAGGGGTATCATTGCTGGTATCAGGTGGACGTTGGAGAGTGCCAGAGACATATTTACTTGTATTTTATTGATCATGCATAGGCATCGACTATGTGGATAGTAACAAACTGTAGATAACATTGCCAAGAATGGGAATTCTAAAACATTTCATTGTGCTCCTACAGAATCTGTACATTGACCAAGAAGCAGCTGTGAAAACAGAATAAGTGCATAATACGACGTGGTTTAAAATCAGGAAAGGTGCGCATCATATTTATTCAATTTGTATGCAGGGCAAATCATAAGACAAACTGAACTATTTGAAGAGGAACGTGGCATCAGGGTTGAATGAAGGCTTATTAACAATCTACCAGCAGTTTAACAACTCATGAACACATATGGAGATGACTCAACTTTGTTAGCTGAGAGTGAGGAGGACTTGAAGCACTTACTGATGAGAATCACAGAAGGCAGCCTTTCGTGTGGATTGTAATTCAATGGAAAGACAACAAAAGTCCTCAAAGCTAGACCAACACACATGATGATAAGTGGAGAAAGAGTCAAGGTGTCAATGATTCCATTTTCATTGGATCCACAATAAACACTCCCAAAAACAGCAGTCAAGAAATCAGTGATGGCTGGCTTGGCACATATCAGTTGTACAAGACTTGTTTAAAGTGTTAATGACCACAGATGTTTCTTTGAGGACTAAGGGGTACCTCGTCCAAGCTGTGGTATTATCAATGGCCTCATGTGCACGCCAAAGTTGGACAATAAAAGAATAAAGAAGGCTGCAGAAGAATTTATGCCCTTGAACTACGGAGACCATTGGAGGGACCGTGGAATGCCAGAAGCGTGATCAGACACGTCTTGGAAGTTCAGCCAGCACGGACCTTCGAAACGAGCACAGCAAGATTAACTATCACCTACTTTGAGCATGTTATCATGAGAGGTCAGTCCCAGAAAAGGGATCCTACTTGTTAAGTAGAGGGTCAGCACAATACAGGAAGACCCTCAAAGACATGGATTGACCATGGACTTACGCGTAACAATGGTGATGAGGCGCAGGAAGCATGGGGCAATGTTGCATTCCATAGTACAGAGTCACTAGGAGAGGGAACGGATCCCCAGACATCTATCAACAGTCACAGTGCCACAAAGAACCCTCTTCCTAGGAGGACTCAGAGAAACAGCCTGGACACTCTTCAAGAGAGAATCAAGCCACAGATGCTACAAGGCCAGCTTCAAACCCACGACGTGAAAACCACTCCAAGAACGTTCTCACTCTTGGTCCCTCCCTCTCCTCATTCTATCATGGCATTGCCTTGAACTGGCTCACACATACACAAGACTGAGTCCTGGTGGAGCTCTGCCAACCCCAAACCTGCCGCCAGAAGGCCACAGAGAGGCTGGCAGTCCTGTGGCAGCCATGTGTGTCCACACAGGGCGGACACGAGGATGGAGCTGGCCCGAGACTGGCTGAGTTGAGGCATCAGGCCCCTTAGAGACACATGTGAAATGCTCACAGTCGTCCTGCAGGGAGTTATAGCAGGTTCTCGAGAGAGGGAAAGCAGAAGTTCGGAGAGCTCCAGCCCTCAGAAGCAGCAGGAGCAATGAGGGCAGGTTCAGGTGGGCCCAGGCGGGCCAATCTCGCTACCTGAGCGGCGACGTCTCTTCTCTGTTAATGTCCTCACTGGTCAAGTGGGGCTCTGGAGGCTTGTTGCGAGGAGTGCTTTATAAGGGTTTAATGCAAGGCCTGACCAATAGTCAAGCAGATCCGCCAGGGACAGGCAAACTGGACACGAGTACCGAGAGGGGGCTAGGATGGGAAACGGAGACCCCAACAAGGGCATGGAGGCACCCAAAGGCGAGCAGCATCAGGAGGTCATAGCCCACCCCGAGGCTGGTCTCATTGCTGGAGTGCCCGTAGAAGTTGGAGTGGTGGGAGCCAAAGGCTGAGGGAGCTCAGAAAGAGTGAGGGAAGTACTGGGGTTTCACTCTCCCTCCTGGACAAGCCAGCAACATGCTGCTGGGACACACAGCCCAGAGAGGCCAGGCCCTCTGCAGTGCAGACAGGGCTGGTTGGCCACAGGAGCCACTGGCTGAAGCAAGAGCGAGGCCCCTCTGATGCCTGCAGTACCTCCCGGCCCTCCCACTGAGATGGTGCAAGACCCTGCAGGCTTTGGCTGCCTCCAGGACTCTCTGTTAGCCTCGGATGGGCACACAGGCAGTGGGAAGGCGAGGCAGGAGGAGGAGGGAGAGAAATGCTCCCCTACAGAACTGATGATGGAAACTCTGAAGACTGGAGGGGAAGTGAGTCTATACAAGCCAAACCAAAAAGCCAAACCCACTGCCATTGCATCGATCCGGCTCCTGGGGACCCTGTAGGACAGACAGGGCCGAATGGCCCCTGGGGAGTTTCCAGACGAACGCTTCCTGGGAGTAGAAAGGCTCCTTTTTCTCCCTTGGA